ATAATTTCAACCTCTAGTTCAGCACTGATTAAATAAACTACCTCGTCTTTATGCCAACTTGAAGTTATTCAATGCCTACACCAGTGACTTCAAAATCTATGTTTCAATTCCAGGAATTTCACTTGCTATTAATTGTATGGGAGTGCCAGTCTTTCATGAATTTCTATTGTCATGTCAATTTCTTGTGATTACTCGGAAAATGAAGCTGTAACCACAGACCACAGTGCTGCAACTAAATCCTGGTATAAGCACCGGTTAGGCAGTCTTGAACTATGCATGTGAAGCCAGCTGAGAGGTATATCCAATCCTATAGATTTCTCATTGTTTGGTAACTATTTGCTGCAAATGCAACAAAATCAATATAAAAATATTACCCACCCAGCATTCTACAGGTTACTTGTTTATATATTTTTTGATTTTTTGATTTTTTGACTGATTGACTCAAAGTGTTATTACCGCCGTATCTGCCCAGATAACAATAAGCATACCCGAGTTTAAGGCATAAATATTTTGATGGTCAATTAAAAATTCATTGTGGCGGCGGATTAAAACTTTTGGAAATCGTTAAAATTAAAATTCTAAATGGTTATTTAATGCGTCAAATGGTAAGGACTTTTGCTGACTCCGTCGAAATTATGACCGTACACGTTCTGCAGGCGGTTAAGTTGATCCTCAAATTTATTGGGCGATCCACGTGACGCATTCCGTGTTGGTCTGTTGGAGTAGCGTTGTTGCCAATAAACTGGATCATGTTTATCTAATCTCTCATTGTTCTGTCTTGGGTCTGAAGTCGAGTGCGGGTTGTACGAAGACGGTTCGTAAATAGGATTAGTAAATTGATGTTCGATATTCTGATGTGCGCGTGCCTCCCTGTAAAATACTGCGTTCCCTGCTTGATTATCGTCGTAATCGGCACAAGGTATAAATGGCATTGAACTTTGTCTATTAAAAATATCTTCTTCGTAATCTGGCATTACCCCGAAAGATTTCAATACTTTATCACTGTTGTCCTCTGCGTCTGAATTCATTGCTTTAGGCGTTAAGCCTGGGTGTAATTGTTCTGTAAATATATTGGGTAAGTGTCTGTTGGGTTCGGATGAGGTACTATTCTTCGAAGAGTTACTTTCTTCCAGACGAGAAAACCGTTTCCTGCAACAGTAACACCCATATATATATATATATATATATATATATATATATATATATATATATATATATATATATATATATATATATATATATATATATATATATATATATATATATATATATATACATATAACTTTGTTATAATTTCCCATCTTTATTGAATGTTTTGAGAAGCAGTGACGTCATTCATAGTTTCATATGCATTGCAAGATTGTTTTATCTTTAAAGGTATATTGCAATAGCAAAGATGAACTAATTCAGTTCTCAAGAGTAACGATTATAGAACGAACGATACGCTTCCCAGTCATACATTAGTATATGTTAGTAAAACAAAATTGAAGCACGAATAGTTAATTCCGTTGGAAAAACTTACTTTCTTTTGATGTACACAACACAAAGCACAACGAGTATTAAAGCCAGACAACCAAATGACCCGGAAACAACGCTGATCAATACTAAAAAGAAAAAGATAAATACAAATCAATCTATTGTACTAAGGTTTGATCTATTGCGAACAGATTTTTGCAATGACTTTATTTCCACGTGTCTATTCAAACAGACTGTTGCAAAGAAACTCAGACGGCCCCAATCCTGTTTAAATATCGATACCTAACTCGAGAATATCAATATAAATTAGTTTTAGTATGTTGGGATTTTCTTTGAATTTCATAATACAAATAGGTAAAGTTCATTTCTTCATGCAGATAACAGCTGGTACATCGTTCTTAACGTATGCGCCCTCAACGACTGCTCTATACATTGGTATACCAACAACTTGACATACCCGGAGTCCACACGCGTTTATCGTCTTTCCCAACCGGATCTAGAAACAGATAAGTTACAGGTATAAGTAATCGTGTTTATGACGTACAGTCAGACTTGACATCAACATTTACGAAGAGTTTTCCTGACTTACTAACTGGTACTTACTAACTGGTTGCAAGATAAGTGTGGGAAGTGCGTCCTTTGTGGCAACATCTGTTATATGGATCGCTGTTGTTTTCTCCTCACTCGGCGTTGACCCTGGGGATGACCCGGATTTCGACGCTGCTGGTGTTTGTGTGATCGTCTTCGTCGTCTCCAATACAGTACTTGGAGATGAGGATGTCATTGCGATTGTTGCCAGCTCAGTGACGGTGTATGTCTCTGTGACGTTTACTTCGTCTTCACAATCTGAAAAGGTAAAACACAATGCACTTGCGTTAAAGCGCGGTAGTCGTCGCGCTGCGCATGTGCAAGATATATGGGTCTCATATAAACAAAGTGGCGACTTTGACTGTTGCGCAGATCAACGAGTGTGAACTGACACGTTTCCAAGCTTTAATTAGGTAATTTTCATGTGATTGGAAGGTATCGAAGCAGTCACCGGCGGTAATCAGTGCAAGTCGCGCCCAGGTCAAATCTCATACTTTCCATTTGAAGAGCGCATTGGATTGTGGGAAAACGCGCTTTAACGAGTCTACATGACACAAAGGCATCCAATGTATGAAGGTTGGTAGTTGGTAAATGTAGTCTTTGGTAACTATTCAATACAACCAGCATTATTTAAATGCAATAACAATATCATTGTATCATTAGAAATACAAATTTTATAACAATATGTATATTAAATAATAGAACATTTAAAAAGAAAGCCAATATTAAAAAACAAGAATAAGTTCAAAATGGAAAGATTTTTTTTATAAAATAATCAAATAACTTAAATGTATTTTTGTCACTACTTTTCATTAAATACAGAAATGTCTATGACCCTATGTAGAAGTCGACATGTCTATTTGCAGATTTTAATGCTAGAACTGATTTTATTTGCCTGGGTTTTAAATCATTCTTTATACAAATAACGATGTTAGCGATCTTACCTTACATAAGGTCATCACAAAGTAAGATAATTAACTACGTTATACTATGGGAATCTTCTTAGTTTAGTGAGTTTTTTGAACATTCAGGCTAGAGAATTGTTAACGAGGGACTGCTCGGCGATGCTGATATTAGGCACATAACGTGTGGCAGAGAAGACTTCGGAAGTGTCGTTGATTATTTACTCATGCATGTATTTAACACTTATCTGGTTAAGTCAATGTAAAAGTACATAGACCAGGGTTAATATCAATTTAAATGACCGAAATATTGTTGAAGCTTCCCATACTTTATTATACGTGGTTCTGTCGCCTGCTTCGTGTACATAAACTACGTAATAAGTCAGGGATACATTCTTGGTGCTATGCTATGATGAGAAAATCTTCGTTATAGAAACTGTTGAACGTAAATATCAAATTATTTTTGAAAGAGAAAATGAAAAACTTATCAGCGCAGAAAATGTGAAATTATTCTTAGCTTTCGACCTTTTACTGGTCTCTCCCAAGAAATGATAGGTGAGTGTCATCTCTATGTATTTACATATTAGACTTGTTTAATTATTTTGATTTCAAGACATTGAATTGACTAATAATCCTGACTCTGCAAACCTTCACTCTGAAGCAAGGGGTTTTTACATTTGATAAAAGTTATGGATATTTGTCACAAACGGACGTTTTTGACCGACAAATTGTATTATAGTGCACTTATGTACACCTTAAAACAAACAAAGAATCTACCTATGATGGGCTTCTTCTGAAGAACTAGGGAGAGAAATGCATTATAGTTAATCTCGATATTTAATTTTCTAATTCTCCTTTGGTATAACGTTCAGTCCTGTTTTAATTGATTCTAGTAGAGTAGAGCACATGCTAAGAAATACTGCGAGCACTATATAACATTGCGCAGTTTGTAACAAATCTGCCTGAAAATAAAAAAAAAAAGTTTCCACTATCGGCGACCCACGGCTTGAGTTCTAGGCAAATCACGTAGGCGTGACAGGCATGTTGATATTGAGATACGAGATTGATTTCCCACTTAGAATAACGCTTTATTTCACAACATAGCTCAGTTTCTGAGCAGGCACAAACAAGTTCTGCCGGACTCTCTGGGCAAGTCGAAATAATCGTTCATGCGTTCAGGGCTGTTTCGGATTTATCACAGACCACATGCATACATGTGTCTTCTATGACCGTCAGTACAAAATCTTTGTTTTTTATTTGTTTTTTACTTTTGAAGTGCTCATATGTAAGTGACCTTATTAGAATGACTCGTTTATACTGACCTTTTATAGGTTCGTCTGGGTGACGAAGACAAAATGTGGGCGGTTCTGTACAGTTACATGTTAATATCTGGCTCGATTGGTCACGTGCTGCTATACATACATCATTGGCTTCTCCAACCTATAATGGAAACCAAACTGGTTGTAACTGGCTTCTGTGTGAAATATAAAGACCATCGTAAAATATTTGTCCTCTGTAGCTATTCTCATGTAGAATAAGCACTGAGTGCCAATACGACTTTTGCATGTGGGTGTGTACATGTACATGATTGAGGGGTTCGCACACATTTCGAACGAAGGCAATCGTTCGGAAAGCACACAGTTGTAAAAACATTTCGGTACGCACATAATTTAATTTGAATATTCGACTGGAGCAAGAACTCTCGTGAGCAATGCATAAAAGGTCTTGTTTTTGTAACGCATTTGTATATTTGTAATGGAGAATACACGACACACATAGGTCAGAATATAGAACTCAATGGTCAGACTTAATTAGCATACAAATCAGTCCACGTATTCAGAAGTTGGCTTTTTAACTATACATGCCAAGTCTGGTTGGTACGAGCACGTGTCGATTACAGTAATATGGTCTATATTTGGACACGTATTTTTATATGTGGATTTGGCGAACCTATGGTGAATTTGAAATTAGTGATCGATATGTTTTATTATTAAACTTTTTTCAATTCTAATAATAACTGATATTACAACATGCTCTATAGCATTGATATGTTGTTATTGTAAATGTATGCTTCTGGGAGTCACGAGCTCATTGCAATTGGTTCCGTAATGTTTGTTTTCAGTTTCTAAAGTAATTTTCTTGTTTGCTTGTTAGATCTTGTCGTCAACATATAATTGCATATAATCATAATCATATAATCAATCATTCTTTTGATTTCCTTCTTTATTTGTTTGTTTGTTACAGTGTAGTGTGTTTAACCACCTCAACATGAATAAAACAAATCTGACCTTTTCTTCCGGAAATTTATCTGTTTCACTTGTGCATTGCAAGTTTAATTAAAGGATATGTCGGGGAGACACCCAAACTCACATCCAGTTGCGATGCTTGTGTTGTGCACACTCAATATACATAATGATATATCCGATAAAACTGACCCAAGAAGGACCCAACTGGTACAAATTACGAATGGGGACGACAAATATTTTGACGGATTGAAATGCATCAATTGAAGAATCGTAAATAACTACGACACTGCCGTGTATAATTGTCGTCTGCGTCTACTGCTCATTGCCTTAAAACACTGGTCTTTTTTCACATAAATTAATATATATGTTATTAGTTGGTCCGTTAAAATTACAGAGAGGCGCATGATGGTACTGGGTGATTACATCACTGCCCCAGTACACCTTCTGCTCACAATAAAATTAAGAATATACGTATATTATGAATGATTCCATGTCGTCGGGCTACTCGGGCGCTGAGATAGAGTGTAAGGGTCTGACTCAATTTGAATTTCAGTCTCGAAGTAAACATTGTCATTGAAACATCGTCCAAGGTAACGCAATGTTAAGTTAGAAAGTACCAGTCAAGGACTGCTTAGCTTTTAAGTGATATTAACATACCGAATAACGTACTGTCGTGATCCTAATTGTACAAATCGAGACTAGGAGTCCCAAGACATATTATGGATACAATGATTGTTCCAATTGTTGAAGATAAAATTAAAGATATCACGTTAGTAAACAACTATGGATATGTTGTTATAGTAAGTGTTATATCGAAATTATTCTTTTTAATTTTAAATAGTTACTATCAGTTGTGGGTATTGATCCATGTTATGGAAATGGTGAACACAGATAAATGGAATTAAAATTACATTTTTCAAAAACCTTACGACAAATACACAGAAGGGATATTGGCCTGTAATTATTCACTTTGGCTTTGTTAGACTTTTATGTATCGAGATAACATTTGCTGTTTGTCGTTCTTTAGTAGTGCAATGCACGTCCTATATAATACACATGGCGACGGAGCTAGTTTGTGAGCTCGTTTTTTTGGAAAGCATGCTTGGAGCTCATCTGGTATGTGGCTGAATATATGGCAATGGCACACAAATTGTATTTTGAATATCAAACAGAATGTGTAAATTCATCAAAATGAACGTTTTAAAACAAATTTGACTAAAATGTGTGTTGAAGTAACGCCGAGAATGGATGACAAAACACATTACATTTTTATTTTTGATCATCACAGTGTGTCTTTTTTCTGAAACAATTAACTTGATTGGGGAAAAAGGGAAACCTGTAAACTTGACGTTGAGACTCACTGTAAAAACAATTCTAAAACTATAAATGAGAATATATATAATATATAAAATGCATTTGGCGACCCATATTGACCTGTTTTGAAATATGGGGTTTGATTTATCTGCTAACGTTTTTAGAACTACATACGCCGTGAGCCCAGCCCCCTTACTAACTCATTTTTCAAGTGATACCACAACACCACAGCCTTTCATTAAAACGAGGTGAATAAAAACACTCCCGTCAACACAATACAAAAATCTACAAGTGACCTGGATGGGACCCTGGTATATAGACGACATTATCTAGAGTACGTGCCACAATTTACTGATCAGCTACTTGGAAACAAGTTCTGCTTGAATTTTATAACATTTGTCCTGATTTCAATTTTGTGAAAATAAACACTATATTTTACAAGCGTTGACATTGTTGTATGGGACCCATTGCGAACACGTCACAGTGTGTTGAATAATATTTTGAAGTATTGTGTTATAGTATGGTTAAATGAATTCATAGAATATATAAACGGCGTGTAAACACATTCATTTCGCCATTTCCGTGTAGCTTGATATTGTATAACGAGAGAGTCGTGAACACAATCACATCGAAAATATGAAAATATCCACGTCCATATGAACAGAGAAGTTAGAAGGTAACCTACCGAATGACAAGGGGGCCCTTCAGGCTTTTTATACCGTAAACATAACAGCAGGCCCACGGTGCTCTGGGGATTTACGGGCAATCACATGGTGATCTCAACGACGCAAGTTACTAATTAATCTGGCCCGAAAATGAAAATCAAAGCAGAAATTTTCAGTACGAACGCACACCTACCACATTCGCGTTGTGCCAAATCAAAATCAAACACCAGCTGCCGATGACGATCTGACGTCGGAGATGGCGGCAGCAATTTGAACATGACGCCATGATTTCGCCGGACTTGTTGAGCTGTGTCGGCATGTGGCTAACTAGTACACACCACCGACGGCACACCTATTCACCAACACGGAACTAAAAACCAGAAATACTCCATTATATTATGGGTCAACTCGTACCTTTATGATGACGTCACTATGGATGCCTCATGAATTATTCATGTTATATTGTATGGATGAACCACTAGAGTGTATAGAATACATTTCAACGAGCAGTTACTGGTATACTAACATTTTAAAATATGTGAGTCTCAGGCGCTCACATGCTATAGCCGTCTAAATAACTTTAATTTTCTATGATAATTAGTTTCAAAAGAATTTTGTACAAAACGTTTTTGAAATTATGCAGAAATGCTTTTTTGTCCACAAAATAGTATTTTTAGTCGTTTTGCAGTCCAAAATTGTCTAAAACCTGGGTTTATATTTTGAGTTCAGATAGAAGATCCATGTCATTTGTTTCAATGTAATTTTATTTAGACACATAACTGTACAGTCGGAAAAGTATATCTATATAACACGTTGTAAAAACATAGTTCACACGAAATTCGAAGGCCGGGACGCTGTAATTCTGAATCTAATTACGGAAGCGGCATGCGGACGCGGATGTAACATGCGGAAATGGAATTTTCGTTTGATTCTATATATATGGGGTCTTTTTCGACCTTGCTACAAATCTGCCCACATTGAAAATGTATCTTTCTCGACAACTGAAGAAGGGCGTTGGTAGTAAAACTTTTAATATACCAGTTGTTTGCAAAGTAAAACAAAGATAAATGATGATGTATGTGAACCTGACTATTTACGGGTCTGTGTGCTCTGGTAAAATTCTCTTTTACAGGTTCTGCCCGCTTTGTTACTTCTTTGCTGCGATTATTTATTCAATATGATTAAAATCCGATGTAAGCATTGGTTTCGTGTCTATATATATGGTGGTATACCATGCTGTCTGTGCGTGGTATGTGTACATATTCGTGTTCATTAAGAAACTATTTCAAGAAAAATCCAAAAATTCAATTTTTGGGTTTCAATATGACAGAAATAAACTAAACATTGTGGACTTTTTTCTTTTAAAAAAAATTGATATGTTTATTATCAAATACAGAACAGCGCTGTTCCTACATTTTTCTGTTATATATAACGTAGCCAAACCCGCAACGTAGTGGAGAAAATGTTATGTTCTTTCGAATTCAAAAAATCAGCACTGAAAGTAAAAAAGCTAGGCCCGATCAAACATTTTCGTTCCAGTGATTTTGTGAAATAAACAATCTGCTTTTTCAAGTTCCCGATCACAGGGAGCCAGGAACTATGATCAACTGCACGCAGACTCTATGGGGAGGGGGTATCGGCTGGTATCTAGTGTCAGAAATAGACAAGGGATGAAGGCTCCTGTTCAGAATTTGTCAAGAACCAATCACAAAACCAGTTGAGCGAGGCTAACAGAGTCGTAAACTCGGTATGGTTCGTAACCAGTCTTATGATTGGTTATTCTGAATAGACCTCGCCTCCAACTGTGCCGTGCTTTCGAGTTAACCGTTAATTATTCATAAATGGAGTCAATTTGTGTAGTTTTCTTGATTTATTCTGCAGATATTGGTAATATAGGTAAGGTTTTGGCGAAATTTGAAAGAGCAACTAATATTCTTCAACCTGGTATTTTTTTTTATAGATTTTATTTTTCATTCTGTTCGTCTATTTATTCCAGTTTAAAAAAATATGAGCTCGCTGGAGCCTTCATCCCTTGTATATTGCTTACACTAGATACCAGCCGATACCCCCCTCCTCATAGAGACTGCGTGCAGTTGATAGTTTCTGGGCTCCCTGTGTTCCCGATGCCATGAATTAGCGACGGCACCTCGTTGCTTAGCAAGTGAGAACCGGCTGTCCACTCACGGGTTTGTGCCACTTATGTAGGGTAGAACAGCTGACTAAATAACTGACTGACTAATATTTGGATCATGGAGGTAGAATTATACCTTCATGGTTGGATCAAGTTCAAATTTAGGTTTTGTTGGTTTTTAGACAGTATGCTACTTAGTTCGTCTGTCGGTTAGCTGGCTAGCTAGCTTGCTGGCTCTGACTCGCTGTCGAACTGTCCGACTAAGAATTATTCATCCAGTTGATGTCCGAGTTTGTCTTTTTAAACACATAAATGTATAATCATGCTGACTGGTCATATTGTAGTGTCGTTAGTCTCGTACGCGGGAGTCACGATGAAAAACGTTTACAATCAATGTGAGATTGCGCGGAAATAAAGAGGTCTCAACTTCTGTTACAGTTGTTATTATTCTTTCTATTGGTGTAGAAACGAAGCACCAGAACATCGTCAATTTTGGTTCGAATAAATTGAAATAATTATTAGATAAATATGAGTGATGAATGTGTTTTTTCGGCCAAACACTGAGTAGTGACGTGTTTGGATTCGGTCTTGAAATATAAATACTGGAATGTATAGTGACTACAGTCTTCTCCTTTCAGTCAAGTATATAATTTACACGGGTGTGGTTTCATAGCGTAGTGACGTCAATATCCACAGTTTGGTCATCAAATCCAGCTATGACCGCGTCCAGAATATCAATAACCGACTGTGCATTTTCAAGATGGCCGCCATTAAGAGGAATGTTTTCGCCATCAACAATTTTAGACGGCTCGTCGTGAATGTCTCCGGATACCACATCCGGCAAGAAATTAACAGGCACCATGCCACCAACAGTCGTAATAATGTCTGCCTCCCGATCGGCGTTATTTGAGAGTGATGAACTTTGTGTGTGACATGTGTCATTCGAGCACTTTGAATGTTCGTCCAACGAATGCGAGCTTACAATACACGAACTTCTGTCAGTTTCTTTCTCAGTCTTGAGGCTATCATGGGCTTCCGTGTATGGTACATGTTGCCCGTTGGGGGCAGGTATGTCTTCTCCTTCAAATACGTCTTTGTAGGTATCGGCCTTTTTCAGCTCGTTTACTTTCTGCTCCTTCACTCGGCGTCTGAAAGAACACACAGAACAATGGATAATAAATCAGTTTGAAAATGAAGGATGGTATCCGGTAACACGCGGAAACTGTTCACACAAATATTCCATTCTTTGTGGCTGGTCACATTATATTTAAACGCAGAAAGTCCGATGAGGATTAGATACCCAAATTAATTGCAAACTAAGAACTTCAGTTAAATGTATTTTGGGCAATTTTAAATCCAAAGTTCCTGCAGCTTTTCTGATCGACAATTTCTTACGCGAGCCTATATTAAAGCGGGGGGGGGGGTCGTAGTCTGCAGTTTTGGAGCTGAAGCTTCGATATGTTTTCAATGAAACCAGTTTCGCAGCCCCCCCCAAGTAGTCTATGTTAAGTAAGATGTAAGTTTGTTCGTTGAAATCAATAGGAAATTTCTTTTACTCAATTACTTTTACTCCGATACGTGTCGGATATACGTGGTTTCCAAAATTAAACCAGAGCTCCCAACACTCCCTTGGTTTGGTTTGATACCAGTTACATAGATTTGTTAAGGACTTTCAATTAATTGTTGCAGCAATTACTAATATAATTAAATGCAAATTGTAATACTGATACTCATTTTAATCAAACTGTCACGTGGTATGGTTCTTACCTTGTTCTGATTAGTAAATAAGACACGAGCAATAATATAACAGCAGTTACGACCAGTAAAGAAACCAGCACACTAACAATGATGACGACATCTTTAAAAAAAATCAACAAATAATAATGATACACACCAAAGTCACTTGATCCACATACAGTGGTATTTGCCTACAAGATAATTTTCATGCATATACACCGTAGCGACCACCTAGGACTATTTGGAAAACTCTTAAATGTGGAATTTATATCATTTCATTTCGGGCGATTGTTAAAATAGACATTCACAGTTTTATATACGACCCAAAAACCATATTCATAACCTTCATAAGTATAATCGATTAAATTCATAACTTGTTAAAATTGCATTATGTTTTATTCTGAGCCAATTTTAAGATGATATAGATTTATACCCTGAACACGAACAGCCTTCAAGATTTCGTTAAGAGCGAGAGAGCTGTGAGACCTGTTTCCAAAAGCCATCATGATGGTTAAAGAGAGGGAGTCGTCACCTGCGCATGCGTCAGATGACCGTAGCGTGTCATTGTTTACAAACAAGCGTCTACCCTAGAGTCTTTGTGTTTTTAGCATGTGTTATTATCGTCGGTTG